ATGTAATGTAACGTAACGTAACGTAACGTAACGTAACGTAACGTAACGTAATGTAATGTAATGTAATGTAATGTAATGTAACGTAACGTAATGTATGTATGTATGTAATGTATGTATGTATGTATGTATGCAATGTATGTATGTATGTATGTAATGTATGAATGTATGTATGTATGTATGTATGTATGTATGTATGTATGTATGTATGTATGTATGTATGTATGTATGTATATGTATGTATGTATGTATGTATGTATGTATGTATGTATGTATGTATGTAATGTATGTATTGTATGTATTGTATGTAATGTATGTATGTATGTATGTATGTATGTATGTATGTATGTATGTATGTATGTATGTATGTATGTATGTATGTATGTATGTATGTATGTATGTATGTATGTATGTATGTATGTATGTATGTATGTATGTATGTATGTATGTATGTATGTATGTATGTATGTATGTATGTATGTATGTATGTATGTATGTATGTATGTATGTATGTATGTATGTATGTATGTATGTATGTATGTATGTATAGAAGTATGATTCCGCGAGTCTTTGGGCTGTGCTGGATGCTCGAACAGCTTTCGGGTTCTTGAAGGAACTCGGTACACTTTTGACTCGCGTTCCTGGACTTTCAACTTTAACCTTTTTGGGTTTGGACCATCTTCGCGGTAAACAAAAAGTGTCTCTTGTTTTTGGCCAATCCACTGAGGAAGTGAGACTTGCTGGGTGTTATACACGGAAGTCAAAGCAACCACCCACCCTTTTGTGGGCCTTTGGGGGCTAACCCAGACCTTGGTTCGACCCCATTGGCTCGAGTCGTGAATTCACGATTTTGGCGGACCAAGCAAGTGATGCGATTCGGGCCCTGGGGCTACTTGTGGACTGCACTGAAAATCAGGAAGGACCCTCCATTGGGGGCAAAGGGATTTTCATGTGGAGGTTTTGAACCTCCAAAACGGCCTATTTGAGACCCCAAGATGCGTAGGGTCAAATACGATTGCCTCACCCATCCAGTCTCCTGTCATTCAGTGGTCCCTTGATTGTTTGGTAAATTGCGATAAAAATTGTATGGAATTTTGCTGTAGTTTCTGGTTATTTCATGGGATTTTGGGAAATCGTGTGTTTTTCTAGAAGAAAACAGTCAAACTTAGTGCACAGGAGGGTTGAATGTGTCAAAGACAGGGGGCCAATAATGATCGATCCTGCATTGTTTGGGACCATCTGAGACATGTTTGCCCTTGACTGACATCAGAACAGTTGTTAGATCCCAGTCGTCCAAGTTGAGCGTTGGCTCGCGGCGAATGGGGCTGGTGGGAGGGCAAGCGAGCCCTGAGGAGTTGGGAAAAATGACATCGAGGGAACCAACTGGACCCGAGCCATTACGGAGGCGCTAAAAACATATCCAAGCTGGCAATCGGTATGGGCCTGGCAAGAAGTGGCTTCTCTTCTCAGGCTGTCTACACCAAGAGTCTCCCCTGCCGCACGGGGCGATCTTACTTGCAGATGCTTGGGATGTTGCTAGTGATGCTAGTGATTGCTGGCTGGTGCTTGTGATGCCCTGTTTCTGGATGATGTTGCTTGTGTTGCTGGCGTTTCCGTTGGTATCAATTCCAAGTCCTCCCACCAAAGGCGGTTTTGGTGAACGTTGACCAAGCCCACCGCACCAAAGAATCCAAAACCGCGCGCCAGGTTGAGGAGCTGCAGCACTCTCAGGCGGGAAGAACTGCTCATCCCAATTGGGTTTCTTCCAATTGCTGAAATGAATATTTTTGTATTTTCCCCTGTTGGCTTTAAAGGAATCTATCACTACTGGATATATTTTTCTTTTTTCCAGGAGACTTAAGCAAATGGAGGGTTTCTTCAAGTTGATTTCACCAAGCTGGAAGCTCATGTTGAGCAGTGGGAAGTGGGAAGGAACCAAGAATCCGATCGGTTCCTTGGTGTTAACCAATCTGGTTTCAAGCTTTGCGATCTGGAAGCTGATTTTGAACCCGATTCCTTTGTTTCAACCGCCTTTGCGGTTTGTGAAGGGAACCGCCTGGGGAGGTATCCAAAGCCCGGGTTGCTTCCTTGTGATTTTTTGGTAGGCTTCAGTTGGTGGATAGATGGCAAACCACCCGCTTAAGCCGACCAAAAGAGGGTTTCATAGCCACTTGGGCGCTAGTCAAAAAGCCCGGGCAGACGAGGAGACAGTCCCAACCAGAAACCGGGGGGGGGGGGGGGTCTTTTTTCGAGGGCACCCTTTTGGGTTTGTTAGAATGGAAACCAGCAGTAAACCTAGTCTGGGGTCTCTTTGTGGAGACAAACTCAGATTCCAAGCACTCCACGTACGCTGTATATATATATATAAATTATATATGTATATACACACCCGCATTTGCTTCCACACAATTCACATATTACCTGGATTGTGTGGGGATGGGAGCGGCTGCCCTCTTGGTTCCAAAACCATGGGTTAGGATGGTTAGGTAACCAGCATTTGCCTCTTGCTTTTTGGGGTACCTACTATAAAACGGAAAGGAATGACTGGGGAACCCCTGTTGGGTTTTTGCAGTGAGGGATTGTTTTGTTTGGCTGCCCAGTGGATCCCTGGTAGTGTTGGTAAACCTTCCCTATCCAGTTGCTCTTTAACGCATTCCCTTTGTTCCCAGCAACTGATAAATGGAATCATTGGGTAGGCCATCCGGTGGGTTTCCAGTGATTGTCCGGACGGAAATGGGAACCATTGGCTCGGATCCGATCCGAATCCTAGCTGTTGACCCAAGATGATTCGAGCCAGGCCTTGTGCCAAGACGTGAGCAGCATGAAGCAGGAGCCATTGGAAGTTGGATTCGATTCGACCAACGCTTGGCTGCCGAATGATTTGGTTGTGAAAGGGTGTATAACCTGGAGGACCCTTTGATACACCAAAAAGTGCTCCGGACAGTTTTTTGCATTCGAGTGCTTTTTTCGGCTCAAATCCAATTCGAGCACTTTTTGAGGTTGCCTAGCTGTTTTGGGGAAGTGCTCGCGAGAACACGAACCTGCAACTCGAGCGCAATTTTCCGCTACTCGGGCGCAATTGTCCGCAACTCTGGCACAATTCCAAAAAGTGTGCAAAGCCAAAGCTCTGCCCTGCAATCCGCGTGCTTGCATGTGATTGCATGTAACATTACTCGCGCACTTATTTGCCACGAAAGCTCGAGCAAACATTTGTGTATCAATGAGGACCTTCCTAATTGATTGTTGAGGTCCCCCTTATTTGCTGGCTTGGATTTGGATTTGAACCCCTCGTTCTTGCGGGTAAATGAGACCACGCCTCCAAACCAGGCTCTACCAAGCAACCCACACAAGTGGGCCTTTGGTTCCCGTGAAAAATCCAGTCCGTCGCGTCCGGCCAATTGATACATGGCTCAAAACATGGAAGCCCCAACACCCCTGTGTTTAAGTGGCAAAGACGACAACTTGCGGTGGGCCCCTGGTTCATTTTGAGCCGCACCCATTGATCAAATCCCGACCCTAGCTGCCCAAAGGATGGGGGCATCTCTGTCCATTTGGGACCATCTTGGGAAGATCTGAGACATCTTTGCCCGAATGCAACACGTGCCGAAGTATGAACAAACAAGGGTTTTTGAATCCGAGGCTAGGCTTGAGCGTTGACCTAACAGGACTACTCAAAGCATATCCATGCTGCTTAGACGTGCCCGCCAGCTTCTTGCCACTGGATACCAGTCAAGTTCATAGGGCTGGTTGCAAGGTTCAAAGGTACCACAAGATCCCAGCAACATACCCCTTAAGGAGAAGCCAATGGGTCAACAACGGGTAAATAAGCCCTGAATATGGCTTAACTGCCATATTTCTTCTTTGGAGTTTGGTTTGGGGGTCAGTGGGGAGATCCTCTATTGAACACCCGGAAAATGATTCAGCCTCCCAGTCCCAATGGGGGCTGATGGGCCTAATGTCTTAATTATTGTGCCTAGTAAGGTCTAATGGGCTCAATTATAGGCCCTTGATGGGGCCCTTGAAAACCAGAAGAAAGCGACACCCAACCAACTCGTCACGCACGTGGAAGTGGGCAAGGACCTGCAGGGGTTCCAGCAGCAGGAGGAATTGGACTTCAAGACGGTGGGGTTGGGTGAGTGAGCGAAAGAGTGGGGGGCAGGTGGGCAAATATCCCAGGGGCGACACTTTTCCGCACCCAAATCGTATGAACTGTATTTCTTCCATGGATAGAAACGTTCATATGGACTGGCTCTGCACATTTAGTCGGGTAGCTAGCAAGAGGTCAACAAGGGTTCCGGTCAAGGGGGGCTGCACTCCCGCGCAACGTGTATCTTCAAATGGAGTTTTCTGCGATCTTGCCCTTAGCCACTCACGGACATGCGGCTGTGGGTCAAAACCAATGGTAATTGCCCGTTTTGGGGTAGGTGCACCACCCATTTTAGGCTTTATTTTAGTGGGGATTGGGATGTTCACTGGGGGTACGGGATTTTGACCCATGGCCATGTGTTCTGTGTTTATGTTCACTTCCTGAGTCCAAGGGGACTTCATTCACTTTTTGAGTTTTGGACCATCGTGGTGAACAACAAGTTTAGACTTCGGCCAATCCACTGAAGCGAAGACCCCTTTACTAGGGATGGTCAGAGTGTTCCCGTCAGTAGTGTCCGCATTTGGGGCCCTTTGTGTTTCCCTCCTTTGAAGTCGGCGGGGCCCAACATGAGGCCATGTTTTCTGTGGTTTGGATTTGGATGTGGCTGAGGGTAAATGGGAAACCCTTAACCACCAAATCACTACCCTACCCACCTAGGGGAAGCTGACCAGAAGGGAATTCTTACAACCATGAGATGGTCCTTTTCAGGGAAGGACATACATCACCATGGCACGAGTTTTGACCAAGGCACGTGTCTTACTGGATATGGAATTGATTTACGTTCCATGGCAAGGGTTCTACTGTTTGATTCCTTTCAACCATTTTTAGGGGTCAAGGTGGAAAGGTCTTTGGGTGTATCTTTTTTATAGGGATGTGTTTTGTGTTTCCTCTTGGTTTTCCCTTCAAATCCACAAAAAGGGGTACCCTCAAAAATAGCACACCCCTTTGGAGCAACCGTTCCCTTCAAAACCGCTTAAGCAAGGGGGTACCCTCCAAAGGCCTGTGTTTCCTCCAATCAAAACCACCAAAAAACAATATCCTCCCATAAACCGCTTTTGCGGCGATTTTTAGGGGCGTTTCCCTTCTCCTCCTTTGTTTCCCTTCAACAAAGCCACACAAGAGTGTGTTTCCTCCTTTTCTTCTTCCCAAAACCGCCCCAAAAAGGGGGTGCCAACCAAAGAGACGGCAGCACCCAACGACTGGAGGTGGTGGTACAACCACCAAACAAGAAACTCCCCACTAAAAAAAAGCGCTAGTTTTAGGGGCGTTTCCCTTCTCAAAACCGCCTCAAAAAACGGCCAGCACCCGACGTCTGGGTTGTGTTTGCAGGTGGTGTGTTTTGTGTTTCCTCTTGGTTTCCCTTCAAAACCAAAAGAAAGGGGTACGTAGCCTCACAAAAGGCACACCCCTTTGGAGCAACCCTCCCAAACCGCCAGCACCCGACGTCTGCAGGTGGTGAGCGAAATCGCGAGGGTGCAGCAGGCCTTACACCTGGATTTCGTGAAGGCAGCGACCGACCCGCGAGCGGCGAGCGAGCGCGAGGGTGGGTGGCTCGCTCGTCTTTTGGTTGGATTCGGAGCCCAGATGTGGGATTTGGGGTGGCTCGTCTTTTGGTTGGATTCGGAGCCCAAATGTGGGTGGCTCGTCTTTTTGGTTGGATTTGGACTGGAACCCAAAATGCCAAAATGCTGTTGCGGTCGGTTCTTTTCAACGTTTCAACTGGACTTGTTCGAATGTTATTGTGGTTCTTTTGGAAGAAAGATGGATTGTAGTCGCTTTTCAGGATTGGTTTGAATGTGGGCAAAAGGCAGCCAGAGGGAAGTTTCCCACTGTGAGGTTCTCATTTTGGACATTCAACCTGCTTGGCTTTCCATGGTCGCACCGGTGGATTCCAACACATGTCACAAGTTGGCCAAGGACATGCGCGAGCATCCGGGACAACATTTGAAAGCATCTCACACATGTGCCTTTGATTAAAATGATGAACAAAGAGAAGATTTGAAACTAGGTCTACATTACCATGCCCGGTTTAGGGTTGTGTGGCTGTGACTCTTATGTGTATATAGCTATAGGTGGCTCGTTGTGATTGACCGTTGACCAAGCAACAAGGTTCTCCTGATCGATTGTTGCATTTTGTGAGTGTACCCATTCTGGGGTTGGCTTAAAGGGAAACCAAAAGAAACCAATTTGGTCCAAATCCCTGTGTTGACACATAGGTGACGTATCTTTTTTAGGGGGCCCAAAATGGCGGGTTTTCTTCTGGTTGTCGATCAAAACACACCCTAAAAGGGTACCACACAAAAAACAGACCCTCACGTAAATAACTTGGAACTGGAAATCGCTCCTGCGGTTCGGTGCAACTCGGGCAGGACCGTAAGGTTCAGTTTCATAAAAGGATATGGCTCAAACAAATAAGGTCCATATTTGTTTAGACTCACACAGCCTTACTCAATGCTCAACTCAATACTAGACCCACAACACCAAAACCGTCCAAAAATACAACACCATGAATAACTATCAATACCAACTGTTAGTTAGAACGAGGCCCAACTTGCAAACGGCTCCAGAGTGGCAACCGCAACCAAAAAGGACGGAACAGCCAGTATGTTTGGGTCAATGCTTGGGATCGCATCACATCTGGGCGCTTGACTAACTTGATGAGTAATGAATCATCTAGGGTCTTATATGTTTTAGGTGTGCCCCCAGGCCGAGAGATGTGCATCCGAGAGTTTTTGCCCAAGATTTTGCATCCCAGATTCTGTGTACCCCTTTTCCGTGGGCCGAGATTTGTGCATCCTATGCCGAGTGGATCCCAGAATTCCTTGAAAGTAGGTAACCCTGTTGTCCTTGTGTTCTTTTTGTTTTTTATGGCTGGCAGGCTAAACCCCAGGTTCGCATGGATCCACTGGGATTGGTTGAAGGACTCCCAAAACTTGCTGGTGCTCAGGGAACGAGGGGACGACCCCTATAAACCATCCAACTGGTGGTTTCCTTTAAGGGCACCAAAGCCTGGGTTGTAAGTCTGGGCTAGGAGCTGTGCACAGGCCTTGAACGCTTATGCCTGTTCTTTTGTGCTCTCGTGTGAATCTCCACGCAGGGTTCATTCCAACTCCTTCACCTATCTCAGCACCTTTTTCCGACTTTTCTTATTTGGCCCACCCCCAAACTCCCCAAGAAATGGGTCGCGCACGTGCTCAGAGCCCCGAATTCCTTCGTTCCTTCGCTTTCAGACCCGCGCAGGGTTTTACCTTTTGACTACCCAGTGGTTGATTTCCCGAAAAGGAAAATCAAAACGGGTTTAAGCAGGGCTGCAGGGCTCCTTAAAAGATACATTTTGCCCATTTGAAACATGGCTTGTTCCACAAAATAAAAGGACACCACCATTTAGAAAGCTGTATATTGCACTGTTAAGCCTTGCTTGGGGTAGTTAAAAAGTAGAACCCTGGACCTGAACGACGCGGTCGTCGCGGCGGTTTCTCCTCACGGAGGTGCTGCAGGAGGACCTGGGCCGCAAGCTGCCACGAGCGGGGTCGCGGCTCACGCAGGCGCGCGGTGCTCGCGTCGGTGCTCGCGTTGCGTCGCGGTGCTTGGGGTCCTTGGGCGCTTGGGCTGTCGGAGGGTGGGGTGGGTGGGGGGGTGGGGGTATGGGGTATGGGGTATGGGGTATGGGGTATGGGGTATGGGGAATGGGGAATGGGGAATGGGGAATGGGGGTATGGGGTAATTAATGGGTGGGGTGGGGTGGGGCAATTTCATGGAATGTTTCCAAGATTGAATTTTAACCTATCTTCGCTCCTGTTCTGTTTTCTCATTAAGGTTAATAGTAGAATTCGTGGAAAATGTTAATGTGAGGGGTATTGAATAAGGTTATAAAAATGATAATTGAACATATTATTATAAAGAGATATTCACAATCTGCTCATTGCATTGCTTCATTTTCTTTATTTAGGTTCTTCTTATGTTTATTTGTTTCTTCGTGCCTTGATTTCAGATGTGCTACAAATTCAGTTTTACAAACAGGACATTCAATTTTTGCCTTAAATTTCTCTCTTTGTGTTTCTAAATTAGTATCTTTATTTTGCTCATAATATTATGTTCTTGCTTGTTGTATTTTGTCCTTATTTCTTTCTCTGTATTGTTTCTTTTGTTCTAAAATATTGTGTCTGTTTTGTTCTCGGTATTGCTTTCTAACTTCTAATATGTGTTTCCCTGTATTGTTGTTTTAAGTTCAAGCATTTATTACAAGATGCCCTGCCTTCTGTGAATTCGTTTGCATCTTTGGACTTCTTACAGCGTGAGCATTGTTTAATCTCCTGTTGATTATTGCCTTCCATTACTTCTATTATCTTATGCCCTCAAACCTGTAAAACAAGATATTGGTATATGTTTTACATTTTTTTCAGTTAATAACAGTCTAATATTTTGACATTTTCAAGGTTCAGGTTTCAGAAAATTATTAGGCTTTCTGGGGGATGTATTTATTGTGAATGTCGTCATAAACATGTTGGTAAAAGTAAATGGACAGTATTCTAATTGTTGTGTTAATCAATGCCGTAGAGCATTTATTACAAATGGGTGGACACCATAATTACAGAATGAAGTTCATGGCAATCCAAGGACTTCGATAAATGTAACTTGTGATTTGGCTTAAACACCATAACAAACTAAACTATATATATATATATTCTAAATTTATACATTTATAAATTTATGAGAAAAATGATTTTTTAGTTATACACATTACACATTAAATAACATATATTGCCGCAGCCATTTAGCACAAGGCATCTCGTCTTGATATACGGAAACCTGCATTTTCCCTTTGTCATCTTGATGACAACCATGAACACTGTCCCCGCGCTGAGGGCGATCCTGGATGATCTGGTACTGGCGACCCGCGACACTACTCCAAAGGCAGATGTGGTTGATGCGCCTACTGCGCTTACCGACACCGAGGAGGACGCCGTCGCGCTGGCAGAAATGCTGGAGAAACGCCGCGGAACAAATACCAGGACTTTTTGATGGGGGTATACGCAAAGATGTTTTTTGGTATTTGTCTTTTGCTTCAGGTATGCTGCGGAGATGCTGGCGAGTCGTCAGAATTTCCGGTGGTTGTACATGGACGAGCTCAAGACCTTGTGCCAAAGAGGCATGATCCGGCAGGGAATGGTTCTTGTGTACGAGTCGGGGGGCACTGCTGAAGGACGCAAGCAGGAAAGATGGCACGCGCCCGTTCATGCACACTTCCGAGTCCCAAAAAGTTCCGCAGAGACCCCCATGTGTCGATGAACGCGCGGCATGTTACAAAACGTGACTTGTCGATGTGCTTCAACTGCTACAAGCACTTTGTTGACTACACGACAAGTGGCTCATCGGAGTCCGGACTTGTGTTGCGCAACGAGGGTCTCATGTGGAACTAGGAGGTCTACAATGAGATGAGAGCATACGCTGAGGTTGTGCCGTCAATTGCCGAGGCAAATGACATCAATGCGCCACTCTACTATTTGCGCGACAAGCACGTTATGTGCCAACCTATGGAAGAGGCAGTGTGCTGCAGAGTTTGCAAGAAGGGATGGGCGTGGCACAAAGTGGGCGCAAGGAGTTCCTAGTCGTTTCGCGGCGAGTGGGTGATCCCTGTGCGCTGCAACTGCGTGGCGGCGATCGGTGAAACCGACTGAGAGAGCACCCAAAGTACTCAAGACACCAATTGCATAGACTTGTATTGAGGCCGCGTGCTTCCTTCGAGTCAATTGCACGTCAGTGTTGGGCCTGACGAGGATTCAGGTATAGGATGCTTATAGGATAGTGGCACACATAATTCATTTATTCGTTTCTTTTTTGGTTAGGTACGTATCTTTATAGTGCACAAATAGAACCTACATCCCTTTACGGTAAGACTACCTTGCGATTTCTTTCTATTTGGCTAAACATATGTTTAACCAAATAATTGTAAACAATAATATAAATAATACAATATGGATTATAAAACTTTGTTTATCATACAATAAAAGAACTTACAACAAAACTACTAGTATTATTTGAAAATATTCGTGATTATTTATATCGTGGCTATTATATTAAATATTATCCCAAATCCAATAAACATACAAATAAATCCAAAATGATATATGAAATAAAAAGTGTATCTTTTTTATTTCAATAAATAATGTATAATGCATCTATCAGAACCTATAATAAACGAAAATAGTCTATTACAACTACTGAAGCAAAAGAAGCAGTTATATCAATATCCGATAATGAAATATACAATGATATAATTTATGATGATATATTATTAAATGAATACTATACAGTTAAACAATGAAATTGCCTGATAGAAGCCACGAACCCGAATGCGGACACGAAAGCGGACTCTTGTCACATCTCGCGTCGCGTCTCTAGTCACGTTTCTATAGTCACGTCTCTGGTCACTTCGGGTCACGTCATTGTCACGTCTCTCGAACTCTGGCCACGTCTCTCGTCATGACTTTCGTCAAACCTTTCATCATGTGTCTCGCTGCGCCTCCCGTCACGACTCTGTCACGTCTCCCATCACGTCTTTCTTAGCGACTCCCGTCATGTCTCTTGTCATGTGAGTCCCCCTCAAGTCGCGTCTCTGGTCTTGCATCACTTGTCTCGCCGCGCCTGCCGTCATGACTCCGTCGCGTTTCCCGCCGCGTCTTTCTTGGCGACTCTCGTCACGTCTCTTGTCACGCATGAGTCGTCGGCCCTCGCGCCACGTCTCTTGTCACATCTCTCGCCACGTCTCTGGTCCAATCTCGTCACGTCTCTCCTCGTCAGGTGGAGTATCTGGCTATTCCTCTTTTTTCTCACCGTCATGCCCCTTGTCAGGTTTCTCGTAACAGCGTCTCGTTTTTTCCTTGTCCTTGTCGCGTCTCACGTAACAACGTGTTTGGGGTGGGGCGGGGTGGGGTGGGGTGGGTGGTGGGGTGGGGTGGGGTGGGGTGGGGTGGGGTGGGGTGGGGTGGGGTGGGGTGGGGTGGGGGTGGGGGGTGGGGTGGGGTGGGGTGGGGTGGGGTGGGGTGGGGTGGGGTGGGGTGGGGTGGGGTGGGGTGGTGGGGTATGGGTATGGGGTGGGGTATATGGGTATGGGGTGGGGTGGGTGGGGTGGGGTGGGGTGGGGTGGGGTGGGGTGGGGTGGGGTGGGGTGGGGTGGGCGTGCGTCGGAGTTTAGAGAGGTTCTTGACTGCTTTTGGGTTGGATCTTTAGACTTGGTTTGTTCTGTTGATATCAAATGTGTTCCACTAAACCCACACAAAGTTAAACTTTTTGCAGAGGGGTCGTTAGGGCAACCAAGAATGGGGTATGACATTGCAAAAAGTAAGGGGCTGTTGTAGTTGGGCAGGAGGATAGTTGCCTAGATGGTTATGGAATGAGCCGAAGATGCGTGAACTTATTCCATGTTGTGGTTGTTAGTTGCTTAGATGAAAAGGAATGAGCCAAACTACTTGGAAATTGTTTCATGTAAAGGGTTGTTTTGTGCACAACATGTGACGTCATGATCGTAGGAGCAAACTGTTTGCAGTGATTTGAAGGTGGGTAAAAAGAAGCTCGACGGTGGAAGGACGTCTAAGACTTGGCAATCCTAAGGGTCGGCTTGCATTTCCGACAGTTTGGTTTTAGAGTTCTCAACCCACGGAAGTTAGGGTTGCTGTTAAGTTTGGTTGCCTATAGCATCTCAAAGGATTAGCCCCACACAGGTTGTCCATGACTTCTTCTGTCTCTCTACCTCTTTTGCTCCCGAACTCATTAAATCGCAGGTGCTAATAACTCTAGCCCCAGAAACGGGATCCGAATCTGGTTCTACCGTGCGAACCGAATCCAGGGACCTAGCCCTGAGCCAAGACGAAACCCATCTGGACCCATCCTCAAGCCACCCTAAAGAACCCCTCTGGACCCATCTAGGCCCCACCACCCTAAAGCCACCTAAGACGCCCGGCAGGACACCAAAACCTTTGGCCCATTTTGCTTGGATGTTAGGAGTTTTTTTTTGCCAACTCATGGGGGTTTTCCATTAAACCACTCAAAAGTTTTCCACTTTTAGCGGGGGAGCAGATTTTGCAACCGAGAAACCACCACGCCCATCCAAAGCCCATCCGAAAGCCAGGCCAAGAAGACCTCCTCTTGTCCGAAGCCCAGCCCTTTGCTGGGCGATGGCTCGCTCGGGCCGCTGAATGAGAGGGTAACTAGAGACCCCGTCTCCAACAAGACGTCGGTTTGGGTTTTTTTTGAGGGAAATTGGCCTCCCACCAATTAACCTGGACCCTGACATTTTTTGTTTTAAGTTGTTCTTCTCCTTTTTTTAAACAGGAAAATTGTCTTCCAGGACCCCTGGACTCCCTGAACGTCAGGTTCCACGTGAATTGGTGGGAGGATAGCCTTCTCGGGTTGGTTTCAACGGCAGCCGGAAGGAAGCCAAAATAGAGGTTCCCCATTTTTCGAAGCTTTTTAGGGTGGACGATTTCCTTTTGGTTTCCCTTTTGTACCCGCCAAAAACGGGTACCCTCAATAAAAAAACGACCCATACAAGTTTGCAAGACCAACCCTTAGTCAAGTTAGAGCCCTCTTGCTCACCAAGCTGAGGTAGCCAGGCTGCCAGTGGGTTCTAAATTCGAAGCAGCACACCGGTGACGGACCATATCTTTGGTGCATTTTGTGACTTTAACTTTTTGCCAACCAATGGGTTGTCCAGTAAACCACTGGAAGTTCAACTTTTAGCAGGGGATCAGAAAGCAACCGAGATATGATTGGTGGTTTGCTGTTCTGGTGACCCCAAAAAGTCTGCAGCAAATCAACTCGGCCGAAGTTCACAACAGCGTTCCATCTTTGGGGCAGGGTGTCTTGTTTGAGTCATGCTTTCAATCATAAGGAAGGCGGCTGCGTAGAACAGTGGATAGGTGCTTGTACTAGGATGTTCCACCTTAGTCAGTCAACTTTAGTCCGAAGAAGGCCCCAGAAGCGACATAAGCATCCACCGAACTCCACTCCCTGAAGCTTTCCAGACTCCATGGAAGGCCCCCCAAAAGGAAGCCCAGCAACAGATTGGCGGATCAACCTCGCCGCCCTTTTTGGGCGACTGGGAAGCAACCCAATGAGCAACTGAACATGTCACATCAAAAGGCAGCTTTTCCAAACAGGAGCCTTTCAGAAGTCGAAGGTGCAGGGTGGCAGGTTTAAGAGGTCAATGGGACTGGCGTGGGGTCCGTGCAAAAAAGTGACCCCCAGAGTTCACGGCAGAAAGCTTGCCCAGCTCGAAGCTTTTTGAGATGCTCATGGGAATCCGGTTCAGACTCTTCGGAAAGCATTCCACGCGTGGCGAGAATCGGGGTGTCACAATGCCTGGACCTTCCTGCATGCTCAAAATTTCCGCCTTTGCTGCGAATTGCCTTTTGGGGCCATTGCACGTGTTTTTTTGCCTACGGCTTTTTTTGCTCAATTTGGGTGTTAAGCGCAATCTCCCCGAATCTGCAGGCAACAATTCTCGACAAACAGGCGAAAATTCCCGACCCACAGGCGAACATTCCCGACCGCGGCGCCAACAAATATGACCGCCGGCGTTTTTGTTTGCCCTAAAAGCTGTCTTTTTTTCACGCCGACGACAAACAAAAATTTGTGTTTTTTGGCCAAGACCTAAAATTTTTGACCCCCGGCAGATCCAGGTGTTCCAGTTGCAAATATCGCAAACTCAAGATTTGATTTGGCAGGGTACTAATGCTGACCCAGGATTAATAAACCCGTCCCATTATTTCGGGGGGTGTTCCCTCCAAAAGTCATGAATCCCCACTACAAGGGGACACCCCCCTATTAATCAACCAGGGGGTTATTAATCCGGGGTTACCATTACACGGCTCGCCTACATGGCTGCGACTGATCCCTTTTCCACCGAAGCGGATGCGATGGGCGCGAGACCGTGGTTCCATTGATTTCCTCGCCCAGTGCGAAGAGACACGCGACCCCCGTTTCAAGAGCACATCAACATGGGGACCGAAAAAAAACACCCCACATTTGCCTTTTGAGAAGTTGCCCATGATACCATTTTTCTAGGTAAGCAACAAAAAACCCGTGAAACAAAACAAAAAGGAATGGATCGAAGGGTGTGGCGACTCACTTCCTGAGTTCCAGGACTTTAAGCCTTTTTGGGAAGACCGGTTTGGTGGTAAATAAGTTCGGACCTTCTTTGGCCAGTCAACTCAGGAAGTGAGGTTAAACGCCTGGGACCGTAGACTTGAATCGAAGCCGTTGAAAGCACAGCGCGCTCTGACGACGTTAGGCGAGGACGCGCAAGTGGGCAGTGCATTGGGCTCCTTGCTGAAAGCACCAGGCCAGGCATGTGGGTTTTTGTTCGGCGTCCGGAAACCGAACGGGTAGAAGGAAATGTTGGTGCATTTTGCTTGGATGTTAGGACTTTAACTTTTTGCCAACTACTGGGTTTTCCATTAGACCACTAAAAGTTAAACTTTTAGCAGGGGGGATAAAGCAACCGAGGAAAGGGGGCAAAGGGAGAGTATTTGTTGGTTTGAGCGTAGCGGGGCTAGAGAAGTACAATCATGATTGTCCCATGATTGCATGGTTGCCGTTCACAGAGAGTCGTTTTGCCAAGTTTTGCGAAGTGCCCTCTTGATACTTTACAGTGGGTATGAAATTTAAGAGCTGGAACCGCCTCCAAAGTTTCATGCCATGAACCCCCACGATCACATTCACAAGCGAATGGCGATGACAGTGGTTCTCGCCAGATCCAGTTCCTCCGTTTCGTTCGGTTTGGTGACACCCGCCACAACGGTGATTGGCTCAGGCATGCCCTCCAACCAGTCCATGTGGGAATGATTCGGTGCGGACGTCCGCCCTTTTGGTTCTTGACCACCTAGATAGCCAAGTTGCTGCTTTTTTCAGTCACTGTTGCTGGTTTTTGGGGTACAGTGCATGGAGAATAACAGCAACTGGCGATGCAGGCAAGGGATTTTGAGCAAGCCGCGTTTCCAGGTTTGATTGTGACTCGTGTAAGCCAAGTTTCCAGCCCGGATGAACTCTCTTCCAACAATTTGTTGGACTTGGTTTCGGCGAGAATGGTCTAGTGGCATTGTCAAGCTGCTGAACTCTAACCCTAAGCATTTTGCGACCTAAGAAAGAGCTACTTAATTTGACAGCCCAGGATGCTTTCAATGGAAATCCTGGCAATCCTTTTTTGGAGGGTACTTTCTGATGCTCACTTAGCTCACATTTGCGTTTCAGCACTTGGCTCCCAGCCATCCGGTCCCTCAGCTTTTGAGCATCTTTGTGTTTAGTGGTAGTTTCCATTTAACCCAGTAAAAGTGAGTCACTTCTAGCGGGGGATCTGAGGGCAGCCCAGTTAAGAACATTCTTTTGATATCCCCCTGTTGGTTTTGAAGGGCATCTATCCAGGGGACATCTTCGCCGGGTCTCAAACCTTTTGGGGATCCGAAAATGGGCAGCCCAGAGCATACCTGGAGTCTCCATGAGCCTTTAAAAAGGGGTCCATGACCCCATAATTTTGGCTAATGACCCCGGTATTCTCTATTTTCCCTTTTGGCTTTAAAGGGAACCTAGTTCACCGGACGTAGATTTTCTCCTTCTTTCCATCGGCCGAGAAATTGGATGGGCAAAGATCGGCCGAGAGAAACCAACCCCGGAAAGGGAATCGACCCCCCCAAAAAAACGAATTTAAACCAACGACAAAATGAATACACCCCAAAAGAAAACCGAGAAAAAAGATTAGCCGGACAAAACATAAACCAACCCCCCAAAAAAAATCGAAGCCCGCGAAGAACACACACCCAACTGTAAGTGGATGATTTTGTTCATTCTCCACTAGCATGTTTTTTTTGTTTTGCGCATGAGACGTCTCGACGACTCGGAGGCAGCCCCAGCAGCAGCCGCAGCAAGTCGCCCTCGCCCTTCCAGGTGTGAGTCGAGTCGTCCACGTTTTTTGCGTGTGGCGTTTTGTTCGCCATGTGGGTGTGGCTCAAAGTTTAAGGGCTGGGGTTACGCAGGTTTTGGTCTTTGTTTCCACCCAAGGGGCCCAAAAATGGGTTCCACTTTTTGAGCCACAGCCATGTGATGGCGTCGATGAATCGGTTGGAAGGGGAAACAAAAACTTCCTGAGTTCTGTTTCGGACTTTAGTCCACTTTAGGGGTACCATTTTGGCGGTAAACAAACGATTTGGACTTGGTGTTGCCCATCCACTCAGGAAGTGAGGAAGCGAAACTCACCTTTGGTTGGTTAGAAAGGGAAACAACACTATAAGCCCTTTTTGGCTGGATTGAAAGGGCAACCGACCTTATTGGAGCGAAACCTTTTGGTAGAATTGAATGAAGCGGAAGCGGGCCTTTTCGGCTGGTCTGAAAGGGCAGCCGCAAGGTTTGGTTGGTTTGAAGCGGGAAAGAAATAAGGTTCCTCATATTGCCACTGAAACATCATAGGCTGTTTTAGCAACACTGTCTCATTGCTTTAACAGTACCATGGGACGTGTTTACAAAAATGGTCCGAATCGAATCAGGTGAGCCACAATCAAAACCTGGGTAGACCAGACTCTTAGACTCTTGCTTCGAGAAGCCATCTGGTTCCTGAGCTTTTTACCTGGAGTCTCCATGACCCTTTAAAAATGGGGTCATTAGCCAAAATTATGGGGTCATGCTGCGGGCAAGTTTGGGTGGCGGCCTTTGACTGAGAAGTTTGGCAAAGTCTTGAAGTTGAACAGTCGCAAGAAGAAGTTGAGTGTGCAAACTGTGCGGCGAATGTTGATGGTCGACCACTAGCCTGTGGCGCCTCGGTGAGGACGCCACTTTGCTGGGCAAGTGGCATGGGGGGGTGGCCACATACAGTAATCCACTCTGCAACAACTCTAGAGCATGCCTGTGTCTTCATTGGTCTATTCACTTACTTTCTTGACATCTGAGGTGGATGGACTTGGCTTTATGGGTCTTTGAGTGCTTGCGTGAGGGCCGCTGCTGGTGGTGTGCAATGCAGGCCAGGTTCGCAGCCCTACAACTGCGGCATGGCTAGAGGCTGAAGTCTGCGGAGTTGATTCAACAGTCGCTCCGTCTCGAAATCTGGAGGAGCAGTGTGAAACAGATAGCGCGAATTTCGACTCCGAGTCACTGCACAAGGGTTGAACGACTACGTTGGCTATGGTACCTCAAACGTGGCGGCTGGGGTTTGGTGGACACTCCCAGCGCATTCCCACGCTTTGGGGTCCTGGAAGAAATACAACTTGACATGCCCCCCCGCGAAAGGCGGGCCAAGTTTGTCTAGCTCCCCCAGATAGGTGCCCTTGTACCAACTTTTGTGGGGGAGGGTTCCCCTAGTAGAATAGACTACAGCGTACCCTTATAAGGGTACCCTGTTAACTTCTCTACTGGAGGACCTAGTTGTTTTGCATAGCATTCAAACTGAGGTCCCAGAAGATTCGGAAGAACCAGCGGGTAGGTAGTCCATGATGGCTGCGTCGCCTCGGATTGTGCAGGACCTAAAGCGCTTCCGTGACTGGTTCGCGCAGCGTGGAGCCGCAGTGTGATTTGGACTGGACGCATCTTTGGCTATTCCTGGGGAAACCGTTTATGCTTTGCATATTTTTGCATGTACCCTCCTGTCCACTAACATGGAACCCACCAGAGGGTCCATCTTAGGAAACATGGTCTTCCAGGACCCCTCTGTGAGGGACATAAAGTCGTGGCTGAGGATTCGTTGGTTTTGTTCATGTCACGGCACACAGCTTTGCGGCCATCCCTAGCCATGATTGGGGGTCTGGGTGTCTCCCGACTTTGCAGTTTGGTGAACTGGTCAATCCTCCTTCCGGGAAAAGGGTTCACAAGTCCATCTGGGTGTGAATTTCTTGATGGTACCCGTTTTAGGTTGGTTTGTGTCCCCATCTTTTCAGACAACCCCATCTACCTTCGGCGGTTTCCGAGCCGCGGCTCCGGCAAAATCACGGAGTGGCTTCGGGGGCCAGAAACCTACCTCTTAAAAAACACGAAGCTTTTCGTAACTTTTTGGGTGACATGGGCGAAATGTCTGTAAAAGATGAAAACCTTCCCCAGGTTGCTTGGAGTTTTTAAGGGCTAAGGAAACTTGGCGGTGCCCTTGGACGACAATTCCTAAGTTGAAGTCCACTTTCTCACTTCAAGGGTCCTGGGCTTGTATACTCACTTCCTCAGTTCATGAACTTTAAGCTTTTTGGGTTTGGACCATTTTGATGGTAAATAGCAAGTTTGGACTTTTTCTGGGCCATCCACCCAGCAGGTGAGAATATTTGTTGGAAAGACCCCGTTTTTGTGGAGAGACAAGAAGTTCCGACATGTTTGGGCCACAAGTGACGAACTTGGCGTGACCAGCAACGAACTTGGCCTCATTTGACCTCCGAGTCCGAGTAGCGACATGCCGACCCAGGACCGACCCTCTGCCCCGGAAGGAGGCGAACATGCAGGGGGTCAGGAGTCAGCAGCGGGTTTATCGGGATCCAGAAAGACAACTCACCCAAAAAAGCACGATTTGGACCCTCCTCTAGAGGGGTCAGTATGTCCATTCCTTCTTGAGGCAAAACATGCTTAGCGAATGTTTCGAGAGTTGCTCACTCAACTGCCCTGTGATGCCTTTGCTTGCCATGGTTGGGCACCCCGTGTTTGAGGAGAGAGATTACTGCCCTCTACCCCTAAGGTTCTCAGACTCCTTCTAAGAACCCTTGAGGATATGCCAAGAACCTGTCCTTGGGTGGGGGGGGGCCTTGGTGTTTGACTTGGTTCTCAATAAGAAATCAACAGGGGGTTGGGAATGAACCCAAACATCCTGCAAAAGGAACCCAGAAGGAGTGCTTCAAACGGGATTTTGTTGTTCCGTTGCGCTGCCGGAGCCTGCTCCAGGTGTAGTCGCCGAAATGACCTTTGCGCTAGAAGTCAAAACGTCTGACGGAGAACTACAAGCATTATGTGGCTTCCTTATGATCTTCTTTTTAGTATTGCCAATCTTTTTGGGAAGAGTTGGAATTTATGTTGTACCTATCCTTCAAGGACCTCCAGAAGTGCAACAAATTCTGGAGATGGCGAAAGCGCAACGAAGCTTTTCCCTTGTGTCACAGGTTGCAAACAGTACCAGCACACCGCTTCACATGATTTTGCAATACTGATTTGGCTGCTTCTATCGAGCTGGCAAATCGATGGGTTGTGGAAAAGGTATTTGGACTAAGACCTTCCACAGGCATGATGTTCAGGACAAAACACCCACAAACACGCTGTATATATATAAACATGTTATTGCTTTATGACAATTAGTGAAGTGTATTTTTTAGACTCTCTGAAAGGGAATTGACTGGTTGGGGTTACAACGTCCATCTTGTTTTCCGGGTCCATTGAGAAGTGACATCCTCAACATTACTCTCGACATGGTTGTTCAAAAGAGACACCCATTCAGAAAGCATGTTGATAACTCCTCAACACCAAACGCGGCTACAAATTCAAGGCCTCTAAAACTTGGTGGACAGGACCTAAAGGAGCTACCTTGACCCCATCATTTTGGGTTGCAATCCCCTACGATTTCCCACTTGCCCAGTGAATTCCGTCCGCCCTTTGGTCCTTTTTTTCGGGTCCCCCCTGAAACTTAAATCAACAAAAAGGGATGTATCATGATGTATCCTTTTTCCCCATGGAAATCCACTGGGCCTCTGAGAAATTCAACGACCCGAGGGCCTCTTTTGTGGGATTCCAAAACTCGCTCAGGCTCACTGCCAAACGGAGTCCTCCCTGTACCTCGACTCCTTCGCGCCCAAGGACCAGAGGTGCGGCTTCAAGACCGGCCATCGGAGGATTTGGTGGGAGAAATGGCGGGTGTCAAAACCGTTTTGGTTGATCCCATTTTGGTGGATAGGTGAATTCACCACCCAAATTTGAGGCTTCCAATTTTGGTGGTTGGATTGGGATACTGGGGTCTCCATGACCCTGGAGTCTCCTTCTGACCCTTGAAAAATGGGTCCATGACCCCATTATTTTGGCGAGTGACCAACCATTTTTAAAGGGTCAGAAGGAGACTCCAGGTAGGTATTTTGGTGGTTCCCAGCCATCCCCGTAGCTTCTGAGATCTTTTTAGGGTTTAGTTTAGTGGTAGTTTTCATTTCATCCACAAAAAGTAAACACTTTTAGCAGGGGATGTGAGGGGAGCCCATTTTGGGGGCCATGTCTGTTTTAGAAAACCCCCTCAGAATCATGGGCTTTTCTGTTGGTTTCCCTTGAAAAAGCAACCTTAAAGGGGGTTACTCCCCCCAAACAAGAGACAACCTATTGGAGCTGCAGCGCCTCGAAGTACTTGGGTGTTCGCTTTGCCAAGTTAGGAATATAAGTTGTTAAGGGAGCCGCTCGGTCACAACCCACTTAGAAGTCCCCGGTTCAGTGGGGGTTAGACTTTTTTTTGGGGTGGGGGGGTGGGGGGTTAAAAAAATCCAAGTGGCTAAACACTTGCCAACTTGGCGAATCGAACGTTCAAAAAAAAGGATCTCTAATCCCACACCATTCTGTGGATAAGTATTGAGCGGAACCTGAAGATATTTTCTGACCCCTTCTTTGGCCAAGATGTGGGTTCGAGATCATTTGATTGGGGAATGGTCGTTGATGGGAAGTCAGTCCGAAGCGTTTCATTTTCACTTGTGATGTATGGAGAGGTGCAACCAGATGTAGAGCGAGTTGTTCAACTGGGTGCACAGTTTGATTGGTGACGTGGTTCCTTTGGTACATCGGACATACATAATGATTCTGTGCGTGTGTGTGTGTGTGTGTGTGGCCCTATCGACTTTTGTCATAGCCAGTTTTCTTTGGATGAAGGCCATGTCAAAAGGAAGCAGCTCCTTTTGACATTAAGAGCTTGGCCTCCTTGTTCGTCAGGGCACCTCCCATAGCTTCAAAGTGGTGCGAAATGGGATTTTGCCACCATCCACAGTATTTCTGCAGGAGACCCCCAGTTTCCCAAAAAGACGCGGCAAACCACTGGATCTGATCTGAGGGCTAAGGCCATAGACCCAGCCGAGAGTGTTGGAAACCCTGTCGGTATTTACAGGGGATCATCATTCCGCGTTTTTTGGAATAGACTACTCTCCCACCAATTAACACATGGAGCCAACCTGACGTTCGGGGGGCCCTGGTTTGGACCATTCTCCTTTTAAAGGGCCCATGTCCCTGTCAGGTTCCATGTTAATCAGTGGGAGGGTAAATATTGTTGCTAGACACCTCAACACAGAGTTCTAACTAAGAACGGTTGCTTTCAGTTTTCCGCTCTTAGTGGCTTTCAGTTTTCCGCTCTTAGTGGCTAATAGTTTTCCGCTCTTATTTCGCGCTCTCCACCTCAACATTCATTTCTACCTTGGTCTCCTATTGGTTTCCCTTTAAAACCGCTCCAAAAAGGGTGCCGCCACCCACATTTTGTCCATGCTCATGTTCATTTGGTGAATTGGAGCAAACGTACCTGCGCCAAGTTTATCCATTTTCCATTGGGCTTGGATTACATCTCGTAGACATGTCCAGGGCTGGCCGGTTTGGGAACCCTGGTCTAAGTAGAACCCTGGATTTTGAGCAAATGCTGTCCCGAAAGGTTGTTTCCGGTAAAAAGCGCCTCTTTTTCTACTCCTTGGCTGGCGCCTTCGGGATGTCGGGTGGAGGACAGGATGGACCCCTTGGGTTTCTACTCCCAGCTAGGATGTCTTTGCCCAAATTGTTGCGGGCGATAAGGGGTGGTTGGGGGTAGCTTGCAGGGATTCCTGACGATTCCGGGGGGTTCTGCTGTTGGGGATAGCACCGAGGCTTATTTCATATCCACACCCTTCCCCAAAAGATGCCTGCCCAAATCGCTTTGCAACCAACGGGTTGGATCCGACATCGATGTCTTGAATGCTTCGCTTCCTCAAGAGCCGATCCAGAGTTTGGTTTGCTGATTTTTAGTTCTCCGCCCGACAGGTTGTGGGGCTTTTGGTGACTTTTGGTGCCTCTGTGGTTGCAGTCTACCATTGTCAAGCAAATTTATTGCTGTAGGGGATTGTTCGTTGGTAAAGTGATGCACTCACTTCCCCGTTGTCTGGTTGCTTCAGTCACTTGTCAAGACCATGTCCTTGTTAAAGGTGTGCTTACTCGAGTACTTTAAGGCCATTTTCTTTCCAGGATCACAGAAGCGTCCTGTTGGGATCAACTAATTCCGCCCCTCACATTCATGTCATGGCTATATTATGGGTATGACATGTCAAAAGGGAACCAACTCAACAGTGGGAGAAGAAACTACACCGGATTCTGGCCACCAATGGGTCAAATATTCCCATAGAAAGTGTTCATTTGGCTTCCCCGAATCGACTTTCACACACGACACTCCCATGTTTACCCCAGGGGACCCTCAAACTACCCTTTCAAAATGGGACATCACCCCATACTTTCGGGGCAATACGCGATTCTTATCGGTACTTTGAGGGTCGCCAACCAATTTCCTTTTGGCCTGCCATTCGTCCAGTTTCACACCCCGCCTTGTCCGTTTTAGGATCTGACGTGTTCGCTCGAGACCCGTTTTTTTGTTTTTTGGTTTTTCAAAGCCAGGAAGCGGGAGAGCCGGCATTCCAACAAGCCCATGGCCCGAGCGCCCAGCTGCAGTTTTCGGTGGCTGGCCACGTTTCCACGGACTAAACTCAACAAGTCGCCCGGTGCCCGGGCGTCCGGTTCCTTTGGGTTAGGTTTTTAGTGGTTTCGTGGTTGGGTTTCCATGCAGCCCACGAAAAGTGTTTCACTTTTGGCATCGGGTCTGAGGGCAGCCAAGTTTACTTCAGCAAAGTGTTTTTTTGTTTCTTCTTTTTTTCCGCCGAAGGGTTTCTCTCACTTCCTGAGTGCGATATTAGATAGTTGTTGGGTTTGGACCATCCTGAGTTTGACTTTAGATACTTTTTGGTTTAGACCATCCTGAGTTCGAGTTTAGATTCTAGATACTTTTTGGTTTGGACCATCCTGAGTTCGACTTTCGCCTAGGTTACCTACGTATGTCTATATATATATATATATACATGGGTGTTTCTCGAAATCTGGGACTGCTTTAGGTGGTTGGTGTCCTTTTGGTTTCCCTTTAAAACCATCCAACAAGGGGTCTCTCTTTTTTGAGACACACCCATATAGCCATTTGAGTAGAACCAAAAGTCAACGGGTGGGGTGCTCACTGGTGTTTTGTTTTTTCTCATTTCAAGTTGCCGATGGGTTACCTCCTAGATCTCACGAAGCTTGCAGTGTCTGTTTGTTCTTTTGTTGGTGTGTATTTGTGTATTGATGCTGTTGTCCTGTGCTACTTTTTGGTGTGGGGTGGTGGTTTGCATGTGTTCTTCTTTTCCTCCAAGCAACTTGGAGATATGTCAGATTCCGTCGGTTCCTTTTAAGCGTCTTAGATGCCCAAAGCCGACCAGAATGTCCTTTCGGTTTTCCTGTTTTCCATATTTAGTGGAGGTCCCGAAAGGTTAACCTTTTACGTCCAGGTCCTTTGGGCAAGTAACGAGTGCTTCAATGTGTTTTTTACCCAGGGATTCCATGTCCCTGCGCAGGTAACCAAGTGAGCCCTTTGAATAACAAAAGGAACATGGCGAAGTGTGTGTTTGTCCGAAACCTGTTTTTGCCTTCAAAGAAAAAGAGCACAAACATGGAAGTGCACGAGACCAAAAATACATGCACCTGAGTTCAACAACCGTACCCTGGACAATAAACAACTGGTGAGTTCTAATGTTGTTGGCTAGAGAGTTGTTACTTTACTTGGTGGCTCCCAGCCATCCCCTCAGCTTCTTAGCTTTTCACTCGGTTGTTCCATGTGGGTTTAGTGTTGTTTTCCATCTAACCCACTAAAAGTTAAGCTTTAGCGGGATCGGACAACTGTCAACCCAGTTTAGCCATCTAACTTGGGTCTTGTTGGGCGGACAAGGAACCCTAGAGCAGTTCCGACGCCATGGGCGAAATCCCTCATTGACAAGGCCATTTTGGACCCTTTGAAAGCCCGAGTTCCCAGAATCAAGCCATAACTAACGTTGAATTCACCCATACTACAAAGGGTTCATACCAGGGGTGCATATATGGTTTGATCCATGATTGCTCTTGGGTCTCACATTTTACCTCTTCACTTTGCGGACAATGGCTTTCTTTCCCCTCACGATCAACATGGGTTACACTTTACCCCCTGGCCAGAAGAAAAGTATGTTTTTTCTCACTGACCAAGGCAGACAGCGGGTTTTTGTAAAATTCCTCGTCACGTTTGAGTGCTGTTCCGCCTGCTTGGATGACTGAAGGAGGCAAGGAACCTTAGACACCTCAAACAGGGTGAACTCCGTTTCATGTGTTTCAGCGAGTATTAACACTCAGTTCTCCATAGCCGACCTTGTGACCATTTTGCTTCCCTCCTTTTGGTCCATTTTGAGTCATGTTTGAGAACAGCATCGATGTTCTGAGTTTTGATGGCTTTCTGCAACAAGCTGTCAATCCCGAAAGTTGCGACCTCGCCCAAACCCTCATGTTGGTCTTCAGACTTAACTCACCATTTCGCCCTTTTTGCCCTTTGTGTTTGCTGGATTGTCCTTTACCACCGGTAAGTGACAACTGTTTGCAGGGGTGTGTTGGCCAAGTCGGTGAATTCTTCTCACAAGGGGGAGGTTGCGTCACACATCATTGTTAGGCCCTTGTGTGGGGATTTTTGTTTGGTAGGACCCTTACAATTCCCTTAAACCTGGGGTGAGTTCCTTTTTTTACGGGTAGTTTGAGGGTTCACCCACCCTTAGCATCGAAAAGGACCCTCCAGAGGGGTCAGACTCTGCATTGACTTTTTTCGGACCTAAAACCATGCCGATTTGGAGGTCCCAAGCTTTGGCCAGAAGTGAAATCCCCAGAAGTCACCAGACTGGGCAATTCCGCGTTTCGCTTCCGCTGCTTCCGCTTCCGAGTTGGAAGAGACAGCCTCCCGGCAGTTCGGAGGCGAGCGCTGATTCCCTTGAGCTGTTCATGGGTAACTAGATCCCCCAGCTGGGTGCCCTTTTACCGTTTCTTTTTTGGGGGAGGGTTCCCCTAAACAAACACTACAGAATAAAGTTGGTACCAACTTAATTATTCTCACCTCTCTACTGGAGGACCTAGGTAAGCACGGCTGGTGTTTGTGACCACAAAAGCCCCTTAGATCGCCCTCTCAGGGCATCGTAGTCTGTAGGTGTCACTTCGGAGATGCGTGCGGATCGCAAGGAGGACCTTAGATCTGATCTTCCATTTGCTGAAATGAATATTGTTTTTATTATCCCCTGTTGGTTTTAAAGGGAATCTATGACTACTGGGAAAAACATATATATATATATATGTACAGTTAAAAAAGGGGGCTTAAGCAAATTGAAGTGATGGAAACGAATGGGTTTGCCATTCAACCTACAAACGCCCAGGGATGCTGACTCTCCTGTAAATTCCAACAAGCAATGATTTCAACCATGGTTTCAATTGATTGCTTATTGGTAAAAGCGGGGGAATGAATCATCAGAAACCACGGCTTCTCAGGTGGTGCGAAATGGATTTCGCAACCATCCACAGTAGGGTTGGACAAAGATTTGTTGAAATAAGCAGGCCTTGGCCCCCTTTTCCAAGAGACGACCAAAGGATGCTGCTGTAGCTTGCGTCATGGCTTAACTCAAGTGGTTGAATCGCCCTACTAGATTCCCTCAAAATTCCCCCTGCTGTAATATGAATGTCTAGCGGAAAGGCACATACTATACTGCCAGCATCCTGACTATATACAGTTTTTGAGCAGCCCGCAAACCCCATTCTAACAATTTAGGCCTGATAAAAAAGACCCTGATCATGGATCATTTTCTACTAGATTCCGTTCAAATGCCTCCCGGTCAACATCAACCAGAGGTGTAGGAGGTTGGCACCCTCGTTGAGGGTGCCCGTTTCGGGCTGGATTTAGGTGCTATGAAAGCGGGAGGGAGGGCAATATAATGCAGTATAAGAGGTTCGATAAGTAAAACAAATACACGCCTTGTTCTCTTACGATCATGACGAAAGGTGGCTTTAAGGAAATTACCAACCCGACTCTAGTTATTTCGGCCCTTATGGGTATGTGTGAAAATAGGGGGAGCCCAAACAATCGCTAGTTTCCCGTTGGTTTTCTTTTAAACCCACCCAACAAGTTGGACAGAGCCTCAAGGCTCCAAAAGCCTTGCAGGTCTGCTGGATGGTTTCTACCCCCAAACCCAAGCTACCCCCAGGCTCGTTGAATAGGAGATGTTTGCCACTGCTTATGCTCACTCGAAAAGAAGGCCAATGTACCCTAATTCCCCAACAGCTGAAAGCTTTGGGGTCGATGAGCCCAGATAGGCTCCGGGCTCCGGGGCGGCCCTGAGGTAAGGTTCCACCAGGGTTCCACCAGGGTTCCACCAGGGTTTCACGAGGGTCCACGAGGTTTTGCGAGGGCTGCGGGGCGGTGCCAGCACGAAAACAGAGCACCGCATGCTGTTGGGGATATCACCGGAGCTTATTTTTTCTCAAGTTTGCTCAAAAAAGAGCTCACATATCCCAATTTAGCCCAACTCGCTGTGGGGCTCGCTTCGCTTTGGGAGGGGAACCCCATGCGGGAAAAAAAAAGGGGAAAAAAGAAGAAACAACTCGCGCGGGCGGCGAGGCGGCGAGGAGCAGTTCCGGGAGAAGGCGCGGGCGGCGGCCATGAAGCCGCCGGGGCCTGAGCAGGAGCCGAGCTGAGCACAAAGACCTTGACTTTGGTGCACTTTGCCAAGGGATGTTAGGACTTTAACTTTGTGCCAACTAACGGGTTTTCCATATTGAACCGCTAAAAGTTAAATCTGTTAGGGAGCAGGCGAGAGTTTAGCTGGGGGTAACCCTTCGCAGCATTTAGCTAATGGGTCTATTGTTTGGTCTGTTGTGGTTTGTGTCTTTTGGTGGTTATGGCAGGTGTTTTTGTTTGGGGGGTTTTGCTTTTAGCAGCTTCGACACAGAGTTCCCATGGTTCAAATCAAGATGTGGATTCCCGGTTGGTGCGACCATACAGGCACCGGAGAGACCTGTTGGAGGCAACCGGTTGCCATTCGGCCTGCAAGCCATCGACCAAATGGCTTGCCCTGGAAACAATGACCAACACCTGCGTTTTTTGTTGGGGGTTAATTTGACCCATACTCATCTTGGGACCTCCCAAGGGACTGCGGTGCTCTTTCCCCGAGCAGGTCGGGTACAATTTTTGACCCACAGCCAGATGATCAATGAAACTCCTTACCTCTCAAATGGAGGCTCATTTCTCAGCAGACTTAGGGGAGGTTGTTTTTCCTTTAAACCAAGTACCTTAAAAGAACGGTTCTCTTTCTCTGGAAATTCCAGCGGGTCTGAGTGCAGGGAAGTACTAAGTAGAAACCTTCCAATGTTACTACTGTGGATAGACGAAATCTATGTCCCACCACCTAAGAAACCCTGGAATGATGATTCCCCTGTAAATACCAACAAACACTGGGTTCCCATGGTTCAAAGCAGGAGTTCGCCCATGCACAGTAGGCGGGTGGGGGTTGGGCCCCCCCAAAAGTGGCTTGATTCCCTACTCAGCCCAAAAACTCCGAACAAACCGGGGCTGATTCATCCAGAGCTAACATTGCACTCCCTCTCACTCTCGCCAAAGGGTTTTGTTTTCTCGTCAAATGGAAACTATTTTCGACCCCGGGTTGTCCAGTGAAAATATTCACTCCCTTTGGGCGGACCAAACCAATAGGCTAGAAGCCTGGTTTTGCTTCGCTTCTTTTTCCCCAACAGATGAAAGCTTTGGGGTCTCAGCCCAGATAGACTCCGGGGTGGTCCGGGGCGGCCCTGAGGTAAGGTTCCACCAGGGTTCCACGAGGGTTCCACGAGGGTTCCACCAGGGTTCAGTACAGGGGGGTACGAGCACTAAAAAGAGCACCGCATGCTGTTGGGGATATCACCTGAGCTTATTTGTTTTTGGTTTGGGCGAGAAGGGAAATCCCCTAAGAATGGACGCAGCCCTCTGGCCGTGCCCTTTTAACTCAACAAACAAAAACAGATGCCCTTCTTTCCCGTGGCCACTGAGCATCAACCACAAAACCCTCTGTAAATTCTGGCAAATGCAGGGGGCTTGTCTTGTTTCGCTTGCAAATCTTAGGGCATCCATCTGACCACTTAGCCGAGTCTCGAAAAAAAAAAAGTCGTGCACGCCATGGTCGAGCTTGGCCACTGAAGACAACTGTCGGCCAGGGGTATGGTACCGCGTGCCAGATAGTCCGCTCAAACAGATACGGGCGAAGGCCGGAGATATGGCCTTTGCCTCACAGACCTGAGCGGACATTGCGAGTCTCTCGCTAAAACGCGTGCTATATCAAGTGTTTTATGTGCATGCTGCATATATGGCTGTGGGTCAAAACCAATGGTACCATTTCGGGGTAGGTGCACCACCCATTTTAGAACCTATTTTAGTGGGGATTGGGATGTTCACTGGGGGTACGATTTGGATTTTGACCCATGGCCATATGGATAGATAAGCCCGCATTTGCAAGCAAAAGGCTGCCTTAGGTCAGTTGGTTAAGAAGATTTGCAGAACCCCTGGTTGACAGTTCCTTTGAAAGGACCCGAAGCAAAGCAACTTCTGGCCATGGGTCAAAATCCCGTACCCCCAGTGAACATCCCAATCCCCACTCAAATAGACTAAAATGGGTGGTGCACGTACCCCAAAATGTTACAGTTGGTTTTAACCCACAGCTGGCAAAAAAGGAACCATGCACATGATGCAACCTCATCAACGCTCTACCTAGGAGACAGTTTGGATCTTGCTTACTCGTGGACTTCCGGTGGTTTCCGCGAAACATCACACGCGAACACGCAAGCGGCTCAAGGGGTGGCCGATCCTTGCTCATGCTTGAAAGGAGAGGTTGTTGATGCAAGCTGACCCGCTACCTCACCAACCAGAGGTTGGCGACTGAAATCTCATGAGGCTTCCCCTCATGTGGATTAGTGGACAGTGGATGCATGTGAGATTTTTCACTTCAATTTGACAGAGTGGAGAAAACATTGGCAGACCTTCACATGGATTGCAGGACAGTTTGGCGACCCTTCGCCTTGAGGGGGGTTCGACCTGAGGTCTCCAGTTCCATTTTTCGTCCCTTTGGGGACCCAAACGGAGCTCGAAGAGACAGACCTTAGTTGCTTTTTGTGCGCCCCGATTGGGATTATTGAGATGGGGGGATCGGGGGTCCTTGTCAGAATGGAAGGGGATCCCTCGCCCTTTTCCCATGCATTTTGAGGGCGTGATTGTCCCCTTGCTTCACCCAGTGCATCCGAATTACCACTACAGAGGGTAGCCAGCCATTTTCCTCTTGGTTTTTATATCGGGTCCTTGTCGCCTGCAAAACCAGGGATGCTTCAGCTGTTCCATTTGTCCTAGGGCATTCGGGTGCATACTTCTAAAGGTTGATCCTCTAACCCCTGCCCTTCCTCCAACTAACATGGCACTGGGAGGTACCTGGAAGATGTTCATTTCCTTTTGAAGGGAGCCCCTGTCAGTTGCCATGGTTGGAGGGAGGGTAGCCCCAAGTTCCCGGGGGTTTTGGACATGCGGGACTAGAGTAAGGTTTAACCCGAATCTAAGTAGCACCCGATCTATTTGGGGGTGTCCTGCCCAAAAGGTGGTCTGAATCCCCAAGGGACAACACCCCAATCAACATCAACCGGGAGATTATCACCTTTCTTTGGAGGGTATCATGTCAACCCTGTGCTAAAAATGGAGCTATGCATCACGGACAGCCAGTTTGCTAAAAATGAAATACCCGACAACATGAGGGTATTTGGCACTACTGATAGTATATTTCTTTTTGTTTGAGGGGACAAACAATCAAATGGAGGTCATGTCTTCGTTCTTTTGCCGGCGTCCATGAGTCTAGTCTTTGACCCAGGAAGTGTCGATCTGACACCCGACTTTTCCGACGCAACGGTGTTCTTTTTCTGGGCCGTTTTGGGAATGGAAAGTGCCGAAGTCTCTAATGTTGACCCCATATTGATCAACCCCAGTGTATTAATAGGGTGGCGTTCCCCTCCAAAGTGATGATTCCCCACTAAACTCGGGACACCCCCGTATTAATAAACCTTATGATCGATGTGGGGTCAACATTAACACGCTCCTCATTTGAGCAAACGGCCACAGGCCTTTCTGGGGACTCCTCCAAAATGATGTCAAGCATATCTGGAGTCTCCTTCTGACCCTTTGAAACAGGGGACATTCCGGTACTCAAAGGAAAGTGGTCATCACCCTATGATTGAATCAGGAAACTCCTTGGGTTGGGCGGGGCAAGGACCGTTGATCAAAATTGGGTCTGCCTTTTTTGAGGGTACCCCCTTTTGTGCGGTGGACACCATGCGACACCTATACGGGGCTAAAAAGCACCTTTTGCACCCTGTAGGATTTGTGTTCTTTTCAACTTTTCAGACACCCTTTTTGGGTAGGCTGAAAAGCGGGAAGACCAAACGGACACCAACCCACATCGGGTCACCGTTGAATCACATCCTGAGCAAGGAACAAGTTTGCAAATCCTAGATATGGGGGTTGAACCTTGTCCAAGATACTGAAGTTCATGGACTTTCACAGCTTGCGCATGTTTTGGACTGGCAGTGAGGATTAGAGTTAGGTCGCGTGCCCCAGGCCATACTCCGTGTACGACTACTACCACGAGACGGGCTGCTGCCAGGCGGGCGTATCAGTTGTCTATTTCGCGAGAGCGGGTCACGGAATTTTGGTGGTGGATGAACTCCGGTTCGCACCGCGAAATGAATCCATGGTTGACACCATCGGGTTTGTTGGTATTTACCTTGGGGAATCGAAGCATTGCGTTGGGTTCTTGCAACGGTGCGTCGGATGGATGACTCGCAACAGTGCACAGTGTTGCCACTTCGAAAGGGCCACAAGCCATTTGGACCGGGCAAGATATACTTTCCCAGTTATTTGGGGCCGTTAGTCATGGGGAAGATCGGATTTTCTCGCCTGAGTTCTTTCCTAGCTGTAGGGGCCAAGCTTTAGTATGGGGGAAGATCGGATTTTCCCACCGGAGTTCCTTCCCAGGTAGGGGCTAAACGTTAGTCATGGGGGAAGATCGGATTTTGTCACCCGAATTCTTTCCCAGGTAGGGGCTAAGCTTTAGTCACGGGGGAAGATCGGATTTTCTCACCTGAGTTCTTCCCAGGTAGGGGCTAAACTCTAGTCATTGGGGCAGATCGGATTTTCTCACCTGAGTTCATGGACTTTGGTTACTTTTTGGGTTTGGAGCGTTTCCGTGGCTTACACAAGTTCGGCTGCCGTTTTTTGGCCACTCGATCGGAAGGGAGTTTTAGTGGGCAAATTACAAACTGTTGTGCAATTTGCTTGGATGTTAGGACTTTAACTTTTTGTCAACTAATGGGTTTTCCATTAAACCACTAAAAGTTAAACTCTTAGCAGGGGAGCAGAAAGCAACCAATAAAAAGTATGCTTACTTTCCTTCCCAATCCACTCAAGTGAGTCTTTGAGGCACTCTCTCAGCCACATCCTGAAAGATAACCTCTGCACCAAACCATGTTACGGTAGGGTAAAGTGGTACTCGGTGGCATATGAAAATGTGGATGAAGATGTGGAATCGGCATGTATCCCAATTTAAGGAACATGTCGCCCTCGTTTTTCGAGGTTGCCAAGCTCCCCATAACGTCTACTAAAAGACGGGCTCTTCTCAACATTTAGGGTTTTATTTTCCCACTTCCGTGATACCTAGGAGCCTCCCTTTGTGGGGAGTTGCATGGGTTTCTTCCCTAATATGGGCATATCCCAAGGGCCGCAACTGGGTTTAACCGATTTCAGGGGATTGCCCTCGAGCCCAGCAAGACTTGCACATGTTTCCTCCAGAGGACCGGGTGCCCCAAGTTGGCCAAATCGTTTTCCTTTTCTTTGGTGCATGTTGCTTGGATGTTAGGCCTTTAACTTTTTGCCAACTAATGGGTTTGCCATTAGAAACCAACCAAGTATTTTGGTTTCCCTTTAACTTCCCAGAAGAAAAAAAAGTGTACTTTTTCAAAAACGACCCTCGCCCCCTCTGTTTTTCCCGGAAGCATTGCGAAGGGTTCTTCTTCTAAAAGCGGCTGCCAACTTCACCTGCCAACTTCTCATGCCAACTTGTCGAGAGTTACTTCACCTGCCAACTTCTCATGCCAACTTGTCGAGAGTTACTTCACCTGCCAACTTCTCATGCCAACTTGTCGAGAGTTACTTCACCTGCCTACTTCTCATGTCAACTTTTTGAGAGTTACTTCACCTGCCAACTTCTCATGTCAACTTTTCGGCTGTTATCTCATTCTACTAAAAGCACAAGCTAATTTGTCGGGTGTTACTTCACTATCCTAAAAACACAAGCTAACTTTTCTGTTCTACCTTCACATCTCGACTCTTAATTCTTCTTCTTTTTATGGCGGGGGTAGGCCCGACGGGAGCTTACGAAACGCACCCCTCTGCGGAGATCGTGCGTGTCGAAGCGCTCTCGCTGTGGCGCCGTGCGAATTTGTCTTGAGCCGCGAACCCTCTGCGGAGATCGTGCGTGTCGAAGCGCTCTCGCTGTGGCGCCGTGCGAATTTGTCTTGACCGGCGAACCCTCTGCGGAGATCGTGCGTGTCGAAGCGCTCTCGCTGTGGCGCCGTGCGAATTTGTCTTGACCTTGGCGAACCCTCTGCGGAGATCGTGCGTGTCGAAGCGCTCTCGCTGTGGCGCCGTGCGAATTTGTCTTGACCTTGGCGAACCCTCTGCGGAGATCCTGCGTGTCGAAGCGCTCTCGCTGTGGCGCCGTGCGAATTTGTCTTGAGCCCGATGAACCCTCTGCGGGGATCGTGCGTGTCGGATCGCTCTCGCTGTGGCGCCGTGCGCATCTGTCTTGAGCCCGATGAACCCTCTGCGGAGATCGTGCGTGTCGAAGCGCTCTCGCTGTGGCGCCGTGCGATTTTCTTGCTCGCGAAACGGCTTTTGGAAGTTGTCTCGTGGTGTGCGCGCCTGCTTTCGCAATCCCGCGGTCCCGGGTTCGATTCCCCCCTGGTCCGCGGCAGCTCCGGCTTGAAAATCGCAGCTTTTAAGTACAAACGTAGTACGCGGAGCGTGCTCCTGCAGCTCCGGCTGGAAAATCGCAACTTTTAAGTACAGACGTAGTACGCGGAGGCTGCTGCAGCTCCGGCTGGAAAATCGCACTTTTTAAGTACAGACGTAGTACGCGGAGCGTGCTCCCGCAGCTCCGGCTGGAAAATCGCAACTTTTAGATACAAATGGCTGGAAAATCGCAACTGTAAATTGCAAATGTAGCACGCGGAGCGCCTCCGCCGCTCCAGCTTTTTGAGGGTTAATTACTTCACCTGCCAGTTTCTCATGCCGAAACTTCGAGAATTACTTCACCTGCCAGCTTCTCATGCCACCTTTTCGAGAGTTACTTCACCTGCCAACTTCTCGTGCCAACTTTTCGAGGAGTTACTTCACCTGCGAGCTTATCATGCCAACTTTTCGAGAGTTACTACACCTGCGAGCTTCTCATGCCAACTTTTCGAGAATTACTTTACCTGCCAACTTCTCATGCCAACTTTTCGAGAAATACTTTACCTGCCAACCTCTCGTGGCAACTTCACCTGCCAACTTTTCGAGAATTACTTCACCTGCCAACTTCTCATGCCAACTTTTCGAGAAATACTTTATCTGCCAACCTCTCGTGGCAACTTTTCGAAAATTACTTCACCTGCCAGCTTCTCATGCCAACTTTTCGAGAGGTACTTCACCTGCCAACATCGCCTGCCAACTTTTCGAGAGTTACTTCGCCTGCCAACTTCTCGCGCCAACTTTTCGAGAATTACTTCGCCTGCCAACTTCTCATGCTAACTTTTCGAAAGTTACTTCACCTGCCGGCTTCTCACGCCAACTTTTCGAGAGTTACTTCACGCGCCATCTTCTCGTGCCAACTTTTCGAGAATTACTTCACCTGCCAGCTTCTCACGCCAACTTTTCGAGAGTTACTTCACCTGCCAACTTCTCATGCCAACTCTTTGAGAGTTATTTCACCTGCCAACTTCTCATGCCAACTTTTCTCTTGAGTTACTTCGCCTGCCAACTTCTCATGTCAACTTTGCGAGAATTACTTCACCCGCCAACTTTGCCAGCCAACTATTCGAGAGTTACTTAACCTGCCAGCTTCTCATGCCAACTTTTTGAGAATTGCTTCGCCTGCCAACTCCTCATGCTAACTTTGCGAGAGTTACCTCACCTGCATCAACTTGCCTCTATGCTTCCGGGCCACTCGTCGTCTAGTTTTTTATGTTGGATGGATGCTGATAGGGACGGGAGCAGGCTTGGCCCCGGAGCTTTCTCCTTAGTCGCCATCTCGAGCGCCCTTGTACCGATGTTAACCGCCAGATGGGCTTTGGGTACTGCTCATTTTTTCGTGTTTCGCGCTTTACCTCAATTGGGTGCGATGGTTTTCCAGGGCTGTTTGGTTTACTCACTCCCTGAGTTCCTGGACTTTCGTGACTCGGGAAGACCGTCTCAGGTTTCACACAGTGAAGGGCCTTTTTGGCCAATCTACTTAGGAAGTGAGAAGTTGAAAGGGACACCAAGAGGAGCTCCACCCATTTTCGCGGCCCAAATCCATATGACTCATCTTGCAGTGGCCCAGTGTTGGTCGGCTCAGAAAACCTGCCCGCCAAGCGGTCCAACACTTAGGGGGATAAGTCCAGCAAAGTGTTTGCCGTTGAAATGTTGATGGCACCTTCCCATCTTGGTTGCTTTTGCACTGGTCATGGATTCCAAGCAAAGAAGGTT